GGCACACAGCACAGTAAAATCATATATGTATCAGGAATTTAGACAAACTTACACTTGTTTTCTATTGTGCAGCAACAACCTAGGAGGCATAGAAGAAGAAACTACAAAGGAAGATATGATCATTTAACAAAGAGATAAATACCAAAATCTTAAAAGAAAATGAGACAAGAAGAGGATGCTTCAGTTAGTAGTCAGATACAGTCCTTGAAGTGAAGGCACAATAAAAAACCTCAATTAAGAAAAGCATACAAGATGAGTAAAACAGTTTTCACTTGTTGAACAGCAGAGTAAAACAAGATGTATGTTCACATCACACATTTTGCCCAGGTACCAGGCCATGCCTTTGGCACTGGAAATCTCCTAACTTGCTACTACGTGTCAAATTAATTCCCAGCCAAGTATTGCATTTCACCTGGGACGTACCAGCTAACAGCTGGGAAGTCCTTAAACCTCCTGTTGCAGTGAAGCTCTTCAGCGGGCCAGATGAAGCTATAACTGCCAGCTACCCTTGTCATTTCCTTAGTCCTGAAAACTACTGGAGTGATAACTATGTTAGAGTTACTGGATTCATAAGTAAAATGATACTTTAAATTATTGTGTGCTACACGCTAAAAATAGTATTTTATTCTCCATTACAGCTATTTCACTTTGATGTAAATGATGCTGCTCATGAAAGATTTACAAGACTGTATATGTACACGAACTATGCATCTGAAGATTTCTTGTATCTAAACATAACCACTGATCCAACTAACAGCTGATTTGCTTGAATTCTCATCTAACTTTTTGTCAGGTAACAGATGATTGTTTGGCTAAGAATATTAAGCATGTGGATATGGGAAATGCTGTTCAAGGGAAAAAAAAGCTTAGCATTGAACATAAAAAAGCAGCACTTGAACTCAATTAAGATAGATTATTCTACACTCTTCTAGCACAAAATTGTTAAATCTACTCATCACAATTCAGTTTTAAAACCTTATGATATCTTTGCAAATTTGTAATGCTCTCTCTGTTCATGCTTAAAGTAAAAAACAATTTATTGTCTTAGAGTCAGAAAATCTGAACCACTCTGATGAAAATTAATACAACAAACCAGAAGTCTTACTGCATGGACTAAACACAAAAACCTAGTAATGCACTGTGGAAAAAAGGGATACAATAAAAATCTATACTAAAACAGGGTACTCTTAGCCAGCTGTCAGAATGCTGTGGAATTTTTCTTGACATTATATAGTGTGACATATGGTTTCCATACTTTAGCTTGTAATTTATTTATTCTTTCATGAAGTTTTGGATCATTACCTCAATCCCTTCACCAATGAAACTAGAGTAGTCTAAAAGGAAAATGTCCAAGATATATGGGCCAAGTTTATTGGTGGTGCAATTCCATTAAAATCAGCAGCTATATTTACCTCAAGTATTATTTAATATATAAATGCATTATAAATATGTATATTTCAAAATATATACATCTGTATTGTAATTTTTGTGTATCAAAAAGAGGTAGTGTATTTAGATAAATGCAAATTAGGCAATGAAATCTTGAAATCAAATTTTTCAAATTTTGAAACACTTGAATTTAGGAATGTTTGTATAATATTTATCAACCTCATTTACATCACGAATTGACACCAATATTCTTTGGAAACAAGGCAGTTTTCATGATGCAAGAACTGGGTGCAAACCCTCTCCATTTCCTTTGGGTTTTGATACAAAGGCAGAAAAAAGGAAAAAAAAAAAAAGATAAGCATGATTTGGTTTTAGAGAAAAGAATTCCCTTGGAAATTTGCGCAAAGCTAAGAGGGCAGAAGATGTAAGCTACATTCTAGAAAGATCATTGTCAGAGGCTCAATGACCTCCAGATCAAATGAATTAGTTACAGGCAAAGGATGTGTTTTTCCTAGCCATTCTCCCTGTAAAACTTCAGAGCCTCTTTTTGGCTTGGATATCATGATATGAAAATTCTGGACTGAATTAAAGTTTCAAAGAATCAAAGTTTCTGAATACGCATAATACTTCTGAGAAAGTTTCCTGGAGTGCTATAAGCCTTTAGAATTTGGTATTTGCTTCCTTCATATCCCTTTGAGCAACTGCAGAAACCAGCAGCGGAGGACTACACAGCCTTTAAGCTTTGTCATGGTCAGCTCTGGTACCCATAGACAGAAACTATAAAGTGTAACAGCCCATAGCTGCTAAACTGCAGAAAGCATCAACCAGAACTCTGGCTTCAAATCACAAGCAGAGCCTTGCTTGAAACTGCCCTATTGTACATTTACAAGAAATTTAATCATATTGTTTAAAATGAATAAAAACCTGAAAGAAATGTACTTATAAGGCATACTGCTATAAGTCTTCTATCCTCAAATATATATCAATAGCTAGTGGAAGAAGGTGGAATGTCCCAATACGGAAGAGAGTATAAAAGACACTGACAACTGATGAACTAGAACAACCCTTCTACATGCTGGATCAGGTTCTTGACTCTGAGGATTCTGAATTAGTCTTAGCTAATTGAACTTATTATAAATCTATTTCTGCTGGAATCTAAAATCCAAGAGGAAACTATCTGGCCATTTAAAAGGTGGAATGATACATAAGTGAAGCTTTTAGTTCAGACATGGTTTAGACAAAGCTACATCAGAATGAGGAAGAGGGTTTTTTAAGCAATTTTGATCCGCATTTCTGAACTGGCTGGGCCGGAGACAGGACCAATATTCAAGGAGGCCAAGCAGTTGTTCCAGGTAAAGCATTTGCTCAAACTCCCTTTGTTCTATTCACACTCTCCATTTATTACATCTATGCCATGCATGCTAGAAGTAAGACAGCAGAATCTATCGTGGAAAATTATACTACATGTGCAAAGTCTCACATTTCAGCTTCTATTTACATTTTGACATTGGAATCTCACTAGTAGATATAAAAGTGTAATGCATTGCTGTCCAGACACATAAACGTTACTCAATACTTTTATCAAAAATACAAATAGTGTTTTATCTGGTTCTTGCTATCTTTATAGGGAAGGGAGTGAGTGTAGATGTGAAATGCTTGATGACCCTAGCCTCCAAGGAGTGTCCAATCATTGACAGTCCCCTATATTAGAGCATATCATATGCCAGAGAGGCTTAAGAGAGGCAGAGCCATGATCCGTTGCCAAATTATTACATCACTAGTCCACCACCCATAGGTGAAGGCTAAACAAAGCCATTTGTGCTGGGCTACAACAGTGTTTCTGTGACTAAAGCTTTTACTGCTCTTTCATAATAGTCATCCTCAATGAATAAATTTTGCTATGTTAAAATACCAACAAAAATTAACTGAAGCTTGTGTGCTGGTAGCATTCAAACTAGCTAAATCACTAAAAAGTGGCAGCATATTTAATATGCGAGTCTGCTTTTGTTTCCTGAATCTGCTATGTTTGTTTCTGCACAACACCATATGACAGTGTGATGAAATTAAAACTATTACTGAATACCCATAGCTTGCAATCCTATGTAAAACAGAGGCCGCAAACTCTCTTTCTGATAACTAGATTCCATTCTAAACTTAGTTTTTGAAGGATTAAAATGGCTTTTTATGTCAATCGAGGTATAAACCAACATGAAAATCTTTGCAAAACTGAACCATATGTAACATTTACAATCCATTACAATAGCTTGCAGGTAACCTATCAAAGCCAGACAAACTGCATCACTCAGGGAAGGAACAGGCCTGTGAATAACTTTCAATCTAAAAGGAAAACAAACACGGAGTTCAAAGGCAACTGTGTGCTGAATGTGCTGCTTGTCTTCTCAGCACCTGAAGCACATATGTTAATTAAGTTTTAGCAAGTCACCACTAACTATTTGGCTAATGGCTAAATGAGATACTCTGGTGTCTTTTAAACACAAACCCAAAACTCTGTTTTGCACAGTGGAAGATAGATAACTGTAGTAAATTATTAATTCAAACTTTCATTTTAAAGTCTGTTTGCAATAAATTAGAATTGATTATATGAACACTAATAAATTATTTAAAGTTGAAATTGGACAATATTTTTTAAAATGTTACCATGTTAATTCAAAGAACAAAATTACATAATTTTATTAATAAAAAATAATTTTAAAAAAGAACTGTTGTCCTAGCCCATCTCCCGGGGATGTTAATGACAGGTTTTTAACTTATTTCAATGGAACCAGACCTGGATCCAACTTCCTTTGATAGCCATTATTCTCCTCAGAATTGAGCACAATAATAAATATCATTGTCAAATTCACAGCTTGGGAAATATAACGTACTCTATATTGTAGGGCTTGCTATGATTACTTCAGTATGTTAATAATCTGCTAGTAGCAATTTTAAAGATTAATGGTGATTACTGTAGGCATTTTACATATTAATAGACACTGACATGTGGACAATAACATATTATAGTTACATACATAATTATACATAGACAGCTTTAATTAGTCAGTTTTAAAACCACAAATATAATCTTTTATACACAAATGTACACATAATACGGAATAAAATGTTTGATGACAGAATGTAACATACATGCGTGTGAGTTATTTTATACTTAAATACACTACTAGAAAAAATAATGCACTGAAAAGGTTTGGGGTGTTTTTTTTCTTTTTACAAATATAAATATGTAGGTAATACTACAGTATAAATTACAGCATATACTTCTAAATTTAAACACAGATCAAATCATAACCCTTCAAAATAGAACAACCTATCAGGTACTGCTATCAGCTATGATGATTTCTGATAATTTTCAAAATATTCCCTGTGATGTTTTACAAAGCATGATACTGTTCCCACTGAAGTAAATGGCTGTTTCCCATTTAATTCAATGACTGCAGGAATAATTGTTTACTAAAACTACATAGAGTATATTCCACATGCATTATTATTTCACTGTTATCAAATAAAATAATAATATGATTTTTAAAAGGCATGGGGAAACAGAGTGACAGAAAGAACAAGAAAGCGAAAAATATTAGTGAATGCTATCGTACCGATTTCCACGGTCCCCGATGCCATGAAACATCACCAGGGCAAGAATGCACATTACATTGTGCCATATTAGGTGGCTTGTCTAGAATTTCACAGTTTTGATCACCCAACATTTGGCCAGTAGGAAGCTGACAAATCACCAGTCTTGTCTTTATTCCATCTCCACAAGTTTGAGTACACTGAAAAACAGAATTTTATATGCAATATTTTTGTTAAGAGAGCACTCACATACCAAGAAACTAAAAAGCTATAGCAATAATCAGTACCTGTTATTATTTACTATGTCTATTTTCATATTCTCTGGACACTCGATTAAAGAATAAGGACTTACAGTCTAGTCTCATAATGAAAAAACAATTCTCTCAACAAAGCATTTGCCAAACTACATTTTAATAGTTTATCAAGTCACTTTCTACAAAAAGTCTCAGTTAGAGAGAATCTACTCTATCAAGGAGAAGTAACCATTTGTGAGAATAAATGTGCATATATATCTCTCTTTGATAGGAGGAAAAGATGGAAATTGGTTTTAAAATTTTCATTTCTAATGAGCTATTAATAACAATCTGATCAAAAGCGAGCATGTTCCAATAGCCTATAGCTTTTTACTGTATTTCAGAGGATTCTAAATTAGACAAAAACTGTAGCATCTGCATTAGCTGGATCCCAAGTCTGCAGCTACAGACAGAAAAAACATGACACTCCGAATGGCCTTGAGAACAAAATAGCTAGATCTGGCCAAAATGCTGGCCAAAATGGGGGGGGTGGGGGAGGCAGGGAGGGTGGGAAGAAAAATGAAAAAAGTGACTCAAATTTTTATTCTTTTCTCAATTCTAGACATTGATGTATCAAGAATAAGAAAAGAGGGCAGGAATCACAAAAGGTGAAATTAGAATGAATGCCAAACTAATCAGATTTAACTCTTGCAGTAGTGTTTGAGCAAGAATGTGTGGTCAAGATATGACATTACATGGCATGGAGAAACCATTCTTTGTCCAATAATGTATAACACTTCAGCAAAACATTCTAACCCAGGCACATCTTTTAGATGCATGATCCTGTTTACTCACTTTTAATTTGTAACTACAACCAGTAGATACTACTACTTGCAGTTATTCTAGTCAGTATCTATGAAATTTGATGTAATAAAGTTTCTTTATAGCTTCTTGTGCTCATTTTTTTCTTAGACTAGCTATTTCACTGAGGTTTTTCTGCATACAATTCATCTTTTTATAACAGAAAATAACTTTGTATGTCTTCAGATTCAAGACACTACAACAACACTCAATTGTATGTTGTACATCCTTATCCTTACACAATACCATCTTTTGGATGCATATTTAGACTACTCATATTTACACTACAGTTGTGGAATTGATCAAAGAACGTTTATCTAAATGGGTGGAAACTCATTCCTTTTTAAATAAGTAAATAAACAGTGTTCAGTTCCATTCACAGTCAAATAATTACGTTACTATTTCTAAGTTTAAGTGGTAAATGTTTCCCTTTGAAAGTGAAATGATCTTACTTCTCCCCAGTTCCCATAGTTCCATCGTGGGCAGGGTCCAGAATCACAGTTTCTTGACTCTAGAGGTTTTGTTGCCTCATCACAATAATTAGCACTTCTTCCTTCCGCATCTTGACATACTACAACTCGACGGTGAAATCCACCTGCACAAGTACTAGAGCACTACCAAAACATGTAAATATATATATATATATATATCAACATTGCATAATCAGAAAAAATGTAAAATATGTTGATTAAAGCAACTTAAAATTATTATTTTTTAATGTTAACTTCCAAACTGGAAATTTGCCAATAAAAATTAATACTATGAAGAAGTATTTTGAAGTTGAAATCGCAGAAAAAGTACATTTTGAATTTAATATATTCTTCATAATAATATTTTTTAAAATAAACGTGCTTCTCTTTTGACCAAATCTGTACTGCAATAACACTTCTAGAAAAGTTAACACACATGTGAGAGAACAAACTAATATATAAAAAAAAAATTTCTTACTGCTCCCCAGGGTCCAGTTCTCCATTGATATCCTCCCACAGAGGGATGGTTCCACTGGTTTATATTGTCTTGCGGATGGTGTATTGGAAGGTAACCTATTTCTGGAAAATAGCTTGGATGGTCCTGTATTTTTGGAATATGATGATAAACTGGTGGACATGGCGGCATGTTACATTCTTGTTCTTTGGAAGGTCGGCCTTCAGGATCACAGTAATTCTCGTTGATTTGTTGATGATAGTTGGCACAGATAACTTGTCTTGTTACTATTCCACTATCACACGTCACTGTGCACTGACCAAAAATTAACCCAACATTTGAGACAGAACATTGATAATTAATAACCAAAGTTATTTATATTTACTTTTGACAATAAGAAACAGAGACTCGGTATTTTCAAAGGATGCAATTTCAATCACATCTGCACAGAATATGAAGTACCAATTTCTAGCCAGAGGCTTTGGCCAATAATCTAAATAGATATATTAAAAAAAATAAATTACAATTAATACTCACAGGGGACCAATTTCCAACTTGCCACTCTCCACATGGGCTAAAGCAGCTTGAAATTTCAGCTGGTCGTGGTAAATGAGCACAGAAAGATTCATCTGCTATTCCTCCATCAGCATCTCTACAACTCACATAGCGAGCACGATCACCTTTCCCACAGGATGCAGAACACTGTCAGAGAACAATCCAAGCTCATTGCACTTTAGGAGACCAAAACAAGATCATGCAGACGTTTAAAATACTAATACAGCTTAGTATCAGCTTGACTTTAGACTTAAACACTGAGAACCACATTTCCATCTCATACTGACAGAGTCATGCATTCAGGAAGGAAAGTGAAATATTGCTGGATAGTTTAGGTCTTAAGAATTCCCATTGGCTTGGAACTGAATTGCAGGGCCGTAATTCTTATGAAGCAATTCAGTGTATCTGAACAGGTAGCATTTCAGCATGGAATCATTGTACAGTTGCATAGGCAATTTTTTTATTCATTAACAATAGACACATTAGAGGGTAACCTCCAGAACATTTCAGTTATTACACAGTGATGCAATATTTACATCAACTGACATAATAAAACCTGATATTCACAACCCATTTGCCATTATAGTTTATATAAGCACATTCCATTGATCCCCTTCTGATACCTTTATAGCTGAGAAGTTCAAGATGGATTTAGTGAAGAGTTTCTGAGTAGCCTTAGTCTATGCACTCTTTACTTCCATTTAGTCAAAATAGTTGCGCAAAGCTATAATTGTGTTATATGGTTTGTTAAGAACCTCAAGGGACAGACCCATATTTTTAGAGATAATTCTAAACTTTCACATTGCTGTCAAGTAAAACTAATTTTCAACACTATCAAAATCAAAAACTCTTACGTTAAAAAAAACTTGTGAAAAACCCACATTTTTATAATGCTTATTTTACAAACTATGTAAAATTAGACCTTTAAAGAACCAAACTGTTTAACATGGCTATTCACATAAAAGATTTAAATAATATTTTAGAATTAAGGATGCTCTCCGTACTCAGAAACTGATCAATTATTTAAAGAAAAACACTTCCTTGTACACTCTCAATCACATGAAAGCTTTTTTGTTCAGAATCCCAGCTCCTAGAATCTTATTTTTTCCCCTTTCTTATTTTCCCTGGCTATATTTGAACCATCAGAATTTGCTGAGAGTGTCTATCTTGTCCTTAAGGAATAGGCTCTTCAAAAACATATTAGAATAACTTTAAAATTTAACCCAGGCAGATTTCAGTCTAAAAAATACATTAATGAGAGCTTTATGGAAAAATAGGTGAAGGAACGGAGGACTGCTCTGCAACACGTGACCACTATTACATTACATACTGGGGTCCATGATCCATATCTCCATTGGGTCACCTTCCCCACATGAACTACAGGAAGTGATGTAGTCCATAATTTTGTATTTTCTGGACAAGCGGGCAATTCACATTCCTGTAGGGGTGAGAAAAAAAGCTTTCAAAAGCTTCATTTTGGAAGAGTGAAATGTAAAGCAAACGGCTCCCACAGTGATAAATCCTACCATTACAATAAGTCAGCATTAATTAACAAGTAAATATCATCTTCTAACTTTTCCCTGGCATTGTTCCAAGGCTTTTCATTGAATTGCTTTGTTTGGTTTCAAATCAAGAGGCAAAGAAAATCAATTTGATGTTAAAATGGTATTAGTAATAGCTAATAATATTTGCACTTTGAGAAAGAACTGTGTTGGGCAACTTCATGGAGACAAGGGGCACAGACATTACTGCGTCTGGTTTCCCAGCCACATGCAGTACAGAAGAACTGAGTGAAGATGGTGGCTGTGCTCTCCTGTCTTTTACACCTTCAGCTGCTGAAAACACAGAACTGCCCAGTTTCAGTCAACAGGTACCACAATTCAAAATACAAAGCACAATCAAACCCAGTGTTTTCACATGTAAGTGGAAATAAATTTCTACCAATTACTTGGTTTTTATATCTTGAAGTCTTATTCAAGAAGCCATTAGAGGGGTGGTAACTTGTGACTGGTTTACTCTGGACCACAGAAACTTTTTCCTGTTTTCCTTAAGACAAGAAGCAGACTATGCCCTTAAGGATGTATGTGGTTACCAGCTTAACTGGACATAAATGACATGTATCAATCTGGTGGCCAGATCAACATATTAATATATAGCACCTAATACACCAATTACTTTTACTTAAAGGTAAACCCACTGATTGTAATAGAAACATTTCTTCTGAAAAATGATAGATTTAAATTATGGGAAGAGATGAAGTAAGTAAACTGAGAGAAGAGAAGGTAAAGAACCATATTAATACTATATTGAATCATAATTCATGTCTACACAGTTTTGAATCAGTATTATTCTAAAAAATGAAGCTTTCTTCAAGTAACCACGTTGTTCTTTTAAGAGCTATATACAAGTAGAATTTTAGAGAATAACAAGCCATTTAGGTGCTATTATTAAGCATCATGGCAAGCAGTTTCCTTATAATATTCTACATGTTGGAGCTTCCCCCACCTCAAATAATCAAAAGCCTTTGGACTCCTTCAATCATATACCAAATTTTCAAATCTCCAATCTCTAAATTACTCTTCTTTTACTTAATTCCCTAGGCCAAATTCGAATTTCAGGAAAAAAGTAGATAGTATTTTTTTCTCATTTTAGAACTCATTTCCTGCAAGTTCCCTCAAAAAGTCAGTAGACAACACTTGTATTTAGACGCTTTTAACTAAAATGTACAATCAACTGAAAAGTATTTTTCAACTTACTTGGTTATCTCTAGGACGAGTAGCCGCATTACATTCCCTGTCATCATCCAAAATAACTCTGTAAGTCCCTGTAACACATTTAACTGCACGCATCTGGTATCCGCGTCCACATGTTACAGCACACTGTTGAAGTCAATAATTTCACACGCTTGAAATAGAACTATTTATAATCAAATTTCATTTTTATTCACATTTTCTATTTTAAAACTCCTTCTAGAATGAATGACTACTGGGAAGGTGTTAACTTTCTTCATGACAGACCATGTGGTGCTTAAACAGCATCTGTAACACATCAATATTCTGGCTATTGTGGAACAGTGTTTGTGCAGGACAGAGGCTTTCTTTTTCCCCCTTGTACCCTTTGCAGAGAGCAGCCTGGAGGTGGGTAGGAGACTGAGAGGGAATACGGCCAGGACAGCTGACTCGAACTTATCAAAGGGAAAATCCATGCTATATAATGCCATGCTCAGCAATAAAAACTGGAGTAGAGCAAATGAGGAGGAGGGAGTAAGGAGTGGATTCCAAATGTATCACTAGCTGCAGGTGTTAAATGTCTTTCCTTTCACTATAGAGTTTGACAAGAGCCCACTCAAAGAAGGCATCTAAAACGTTAGATGGTTGACAACATTATGGCAGGAATCACATCCTATAGATGTTGTGGTTCAAGCACAAATACTGGTAAAAACCTAGGTCATGAATACCTACTCCCAGATGGTATGGTGGAAAAAATGCAATGGTAAGCTCTGCTCTAGTGACTTGGATTGGCAAACTGCTTGTACAAGCTCTTCTAGCAAGGCCACACACTGATTTTTTTTTTTATTCAGAAGAATTATATCATGGAACTGAATTATTTTTTTATTTCATTTTTTCATTTAGCTTGTAGGAATGGAAGGCCAGCACCTTGTGATCAAATGATTACTCAAAAGTAATTCAACATTATGTTAGACAACAGTGTGGTTATCTCTAGCATGAAAAAATGAGAAAAGTTCTACACAAAATAAATGTTTAAGTTAAAAATAGACTTAATTTCCAAAGGTATATATATTTATTCTGTATTTTGCTAACAGGTTACATGTAAAAAAAATAATTATCAGCTGCTATTCAGTTATAAATTCTCGCTAACATCCAAGAAACACTGCATAATCCAACTCTTCTGTTGGTTTGAGCAACCTGATCTTATGAAAGCTCCATGACATTGAGTACCTTATTAAAACTCTCATCTATTTGGTGATAAAAGCTTCCTTCACAAATTAATTCACTTTTTTCCAGAATTTTTAGGCCACTCGGGTATACATTAGATAAGTGTCACTACACACTGGAACATTTTTTTCAATAGCAATCTCATATAAAGAGATAGCAGATCTTTCATCACTGAAGGTCGAAACAAAACATAACAACAAAATACTAAGTCTCTTTGTCTGCTATTATTAGCATATACATTTCTATGATCTTAAATCTACCACTTAAATATGACCACACATTATTTTCATTATTCTCAAGATGTAATGCATTCACTTGTAAAAACATCTGATATTAATGCTCAGGGTCAAGGACTATTTTAAGCATTTAACTTGCATGTGGGTGTTCCTAAATTACAGGTTAAATAGCCAACAGGAGGAAACAAACGTGAATTAATTCAGCTGAAGTAATTGCTTAAGATCCAATCAAAATGTTGAAAAGATATTGTTTTGTGATCACTCATAATCTCAACTAGAAAACAAAAAGCCAAGAATCTTAATGTACTCACTGATCCCCAAGGCCCTACTTGCCAAGATGCACATTCATGGAGTTCACACGGTGTTACTGATTCTGGTCTATCATTTGGATTACAGAAATCATCTCTCAGTTGTTCATCATTAAGTTGGCACCATACTTGACGATGCTTCACTCCTTTGCCACATGTCACAGGACACTGAAAAATTATTAGAGTCGTTGGTTTGTAAAGACATGAACCTACATTAATGGCTTCACTTTCATTTAGTAATCTGCTGGATTTTAAAGATTACATAAATAACAAAAATATTCCATGAATGTAAGTAGTCCAACAAAATTAGCTTTTTTATGGATTCTCCATTTCCTGTAAACATCAATCCAAATTCTAATGCAAAGGAATCACTATTAAGTTTCTAAAGCTACAAAAATATGAGAACAATGTACAGATCACTTATTTCCATTAGAACAAAGAATACTTGTTTAAAATATGAGTGCATATATCACAGCTTTCAAAGGAAAAATGTTTAAACTATCCATGATTCTTTTATACCCATATAATCTATAATAACACGGATATAATTCTGTTCTTTAGTTGGCTGGATGGTTCTCATTGCTTCACAAAAAAGGAAGGTATGCATATTAGTGTAGATAGATTTACTTTAAGTAGCTTCACTACCTCATTTTAATGTAACAAAATTTCAGAGAAAAATAAATTCTAGCTGTGTTTTTCAGAAGTTCTCACACCATTTGTACATCTGGGATGTATATCAGCCAAATCATAAGACTTCATAATTTTTATTATCACATGTCCCAAAACAGCCAGAACAACAAAAAAAAAACAACAAACAAATACTTAAAGAAGCTTATTTTAATGTAGATGATCAGGAACAAAAATGTCTTAAGTTTTGCATGGTTCATTACCTCGCTCCACTCACTAACAGACCAGCTTGGACATAGGAATTCATTGCAACTCTGTGTTACAACTCTTGCAAGTTCCTTGCACTCTCTGTCAGGAAGATGACGACCCAAATTGTTCATACAAAAAGCTTCTCTGGTTCTGACACCCCTTTCACAGCTCCTGGAACACTGTGATGTATAGACAATATTACAAAACAGGAAACAACATGATAAAACCAGGTCAACATACACTATCTTAAGGGTGAAAGACATTAATGGTTGTTTAGACAAATGTATCCTACATTTAATCCACAGGCTGCTAATATGTTCACAGGAGATAAATTTGGCACTTTATGTAGTAGTTCCAAGAGAAAACTCTTGAATGAAGATTAAAGCTGAAATTGTACTTATTCCTTTTCTCAGAAATACTCTCAGAACTAAATTATTAAGACTGTAAATAACACATACACCTTTAATCACCAGATCTTCTCTGCTGACTTCCAAAACCAAGCTGCAAACAATTTAGCTACAGTTTCTTATAAAAATATGAGGAAGTTGCTGAAATATAAAGATTGGTGTAGGCTCCTCCTACAACTCTGCATTTGTCAAATATTACTTAGTTTAGTTACTTAAACTAACATAATTGACACAGAAATTTGATATGAACGCTAACCAGGGCTATAACGGTACTATTATAAGGTTTTGAACTTGTACCTCTGACCATTTTGTGTAGTGCCAACTTGTTAACATACAGTCGCCATGGCAGAGTTCTCTGGTTGGTGGTTTCTGCTGATCAGCACAGTACTTATCATCCACTGGAGCACTGAGTCCTTTAGAAATAGAGTACTTCATGCAGTGGATCTCTATAGACCGATACCCTGGGCCACACTTTGATGTGCAGTCACTTTTGCCAACATTGTGCCACCTACAAGGATAAACTGTTATAGAAAGCTAACTATGTTTCAAAAAATAAGACCACGATGAATAAAGCGCTCAGAGAATGTACCAGAAATTGTCATGGAAATATACACATGCATTTTAGGGAACAAATAAAACTGTAAAAATCTATCTCACCAATGGCATTTTCAAAGCAATATAAAAGAATTTGACTCACAGGCTTAAAAACATCTTTTTAAATTTAAAGGATCTTTTGTCTTAATCTCCTAGATGACTTTGAAAAATGTAAGCTATAATTCTAACTGCTTATCCTCTGAACATTTCACCACGGGCTTTCCTGGAGTGCAAAAACACAAGTCTGTTTCAAATTAGTTCCAGTTGTGGGTTCAATTCTGGTGAAAAATGTATTTTGCCCAGAAATACAAGTTTTTGCACCAGGATATACAGAATAGATCCACAATCGTAACATCATAACAGAACTTTGTACTTCACCGATAAAAATTAGAAAAGTACACTACTTCTACTTAGATTCAGAGGTGTAAACATAATATATAAATTCATTATAACAATAGATTTGTTGAAAGAACAGAGAGACGGGAGAGATGAGGGAGGTATAGAGGGGTGGAGAGACAGAGGACAAAGCAATTTGAATTACTTTGTTTCAATCTCTATCAACAAAAACATGTTTAACATCTTTGTCAGCTGTTTAACATCTTTGTTGGTGACATGGACGGTGGGATCGAGTGCACCCTCAGCAAGTTTGCTGACGACACCAAGCTGTGTGGTGTGGTCAACACGCTGGAGAGAAGGGATGCCATCCAGAGGGACTTTGAGAAGCGGGCCAATGTAAACCTCAGGAGGTTTAACACAGCCAAGTGCAAGATCCTGCACGTGGGTCGAGGCAATCCCCAGTATCAATACAGGCTGGGGATGAAGGGATTGAGAGCAGCCCAGAGGAGAAGGACTTGGGGGCACTGGTGGATGAAAAGCTGGACATGAGCCAGCAATGTGCACTGGCAGCCCAGAAAGTCAACTGTATCCTGGGCTGCATCCAAAGAAGCGTGGCCAGCAGGTCCAGGGAGGTGATTCTGCCCCTCTACTCTGCTCTCATGAGACCCCACCTGGAGTACTGCATTCAGCTCTGGAGTCCCCAACACAAGAAGGACATGGAGCTACTGGAGCGAGTCCAGAGGAGGGCCACAAAGATAATCCAAGGGCTAGAGCACCTCTCCTATGAAGACAGGCTGAGAGAGTTGGGGTTGTTCAGTCTGGAGAAGAGAAGGCTCTGGGGACACCTTCTAGCAGCCTTCCAATACCTAAAGGGGGCCTACAAGAAAGCTGGAGAGGGGCTTTTTAAAAGGGCATGTAGTGATAGAAAAAAGGTTAATGGCTTTAAACTGAAACAGGGTAGATTTAAATCAGATCTAAGGAAGAAATTCTTCCCTCTGAGGGTGGTGAAGCACTGGAACAGGTTGCTCAGAGGAGTTCTGGATGTCCCATCCCTGGAAGTGTTCAAGGCCAGGCTGGATGAGGCTTTGAGCAACCTGATCTAGTGGAAGGTGCCCCTGCCCATGGCAGGGGTGTTGGGAATTTTAGGTGCCCTTTCAACCCAAACCATTCTATGATTCTATGTAAGGCCACGACAGCTCCATCAGTTAGGAACCTCTTTTTACCTTAATTCACACTCTGTATTACACTCCTCAAAGACATCTGGTACAGTGGGTATAAATTCACATCTTTGATCAGACACTACCACATGATCACTTTTACGTATGCATATCATTCTTCTTCTTCGAATACCTTGAAAAGGAACAAAAATAAATGAATAAAGGGCTAAAACAAGAGTGCCTTTTTTTTACAGTGAGGGATTCCATTTATCATTTAGGAATTTAACTGAGATACTCCATTAACATTAATCATTGTATACAGCAGATTCTGCACAAACATGCTGCTTTGTGCAGATGACTACATTCCAGGTGGAGAACAACCTTGTCCTAGCCACCTCTGCCATCTCCCAGCTGTAACATAGTGGTCTCATGAGGATATCAACTTCCAGAGAACTGCAAAGGTGGAACAGTCCATTTACTCATCAAGTTAAGTATTCCAAATGCATCATATCTGTCCTTTGCTAACTACCAAATTTTCAAACCACGATGCTAACGTAGAGGTTGTGATCATTTTCTTTAAGGAAGCAGAAAATTTGATCACAGTACCTAAAAGACCTGGAATGCTTGGAGAAGTACCACAGTTGACAGATGCTGTGTTTCTCTAGCACATAAGCATGTCTACAGCTTGACTCAAAACAAAAAAACCCTCACCATCACATACCTACAGGCACTTCTAGCACCTGCTAATAGGAGTATCTATCAAAGTGTACACACACTTTATGAATACACTTTATACATATTGCGGTTTCATTTTTACACTGGAATGGCCTATAGCATAACAGTTTAAAAATCATAAAATATATCTTTAAGTAGCTTCACTCCCTGTAGCAGATGAACAAAAAAGACAAATAAATATGCATGAAAGACACTAGACAAATCAGTAATCATCTGGAAATAGGATAACAGAAGCCTAATACATAGTAGTAGATATACAATATCGCCTTCTAAAAATGCATTAGACTTGATTGAACTTTTGGTTTTTATTAAACCACTCCTATGGCTATAAAAGAAACAAACAAATGTAGTTTTGAATATAGAATTCCATTGCATAAATACTGAAAATAGTAAAACAAAATCAGAATCCATTCTGCCCTTAAAGGCTCTGTGCACCTAAAGTTTACTGAAATTTATGAGATTTTTTCCTGAAAGTAGAGGTGAAAAATGTGAGTACTTAAGACTATTCCCTTCCTAAATGCCATCAGGTCATTGGTTCTGGTGACAATTCACAGTACCTTGGCACATCCTGTTGCAGTCTTGCCAGGGTCCGTAAGGATCCCACGTGAACAGATCATTTCTGTCTTCTATGGGGATATTGAATGAATAACGCACATCAGGGTTGTATAAATACCTACACACAAAACCTTAATTGAGATAAAATGATAGCTGTTTTTCAGTGAATTTGAACATAAAATTATTAACATAATGATCATGTAGTAAATTTTTAAACTTACGAAAAAAGTAAACATGCACCTGTAAGGTTAGCTCTTCTTCGATTCTATCAGTGCTGTTAATTCGTTCTATCGTATTGTTTGAACCACTGTACTCAAAAATGGCTCCTTGTATATTGATTTCTCTTTTTGACATGCTTACAACAAAATTTCCATTCAAGAGAAAATTTCCGTGAATATCAGATAAAGCTACAAGTAAAATAAAATATTGGAAATAAAGCATGTATTTAATGAAAAGGTTCTATCAATAAAAACTGTTAATAATATATTTTCTCATCTACAGATAGCTCTATTTGAGTCCATGTGTAATACATTAAAGTTGTATCAAACAGTTTCTAATGCATTAATCCAATCCTAACCATCAGTAACTTTCACCTGAGCAGTTGTCACAGATTTTCTCTGCATTAACAACAGAACTTTAATAATAG